TTTTTTTTTTTTTTTTTTTTTTTTTTAAAGGCCCTTGTGCAAGACCTCTATCCTGGTGGTGGTAAGAGAACCACCGGGATTGAGGGTTTGCCTAGGATTGAGGCTTTGCCTAGCGGGCCGCTCCATCTATTGGTGGGGAGCAACACCTGCTGGAAACCGGGTCCAGCGTCCCATAAATACATCTTTGCTACACAGTACCTTAATGAGAGTGATGCCAAAGTGCTGGAAACCGGGTCCAGCGTCCCATATCCACTCTACTCTTCCATACCTGGCCTGCATCAGGGTCGGGTATTGGGGGGGGGACCACCAGGGGGCACCAGTGGAGTCTCCCTCCATCCCTTCCTGCGAATCCGGAACTGTGCAGCAGTCACCCGCGCAGTTTTTTTTTTTTTTTTTTGAGAGTACAACCCGAGCGGATGCAAGGGGTGCTGATAAGAGCAGCCACCACTAGCACTCTCGGGAGGCTCCGTCTGTTGGTGGGGAGCAGCACCTGCGGCTGGAAAGTGGGTCCAGCGTCACTAAACATTGTTACAGTACTAGTTGACAATGTTTGTTTGAACAGAAATGTAATTGTTATGACAGTGAGCTGCAGGGCTCACCTACAAACTCGTATAATTCTATATGGGACGCTAGCACGTGTTGCTCTCCACGAATAGACACTGTCAGGAGCATTTGTCCCAAAAAAAAAAAAAAAAGGAAGCGGCAGAACTACACAGCAGCCTGAGCTTGCTCGCCTACATGATAGCCTACACCGGCCCTATGGTAAGTGATGGTATACACAGATCTTATGTGTGGTGCTAGGAGAATTGGGAACATATTCTAACATATTCTAAGATATTCTAATTTCTAAAATATTGTAACATATTCTAACATATTGTAACATATTCTAACATATTCTAACAGGAGCTCAGTTGGGAATTATTGATTTATGAGGTGCCGCCTTAGCGCACGCGCCGCGACGAGTTTGCGGCGATTGACAGCGTGATTTTCGGTCAACTTCGGGAGGCACGGTACGGGCATGCGACGAGTCTCACCATAGCCGGCGCTACAGGGGAGATAAAAGAGTTGACAGCAAGCACAACGGGAGTTATGGTGAAGGGTAGAAGCAGCTACCTCAGCGCTCACGAATCTACGACTGGAGAGCCCAACCGATGACGCGGTCCTGGTACACAGATGGAGGGGTCACTTCCTTCCCGAGGAACCGGGAGCTAACAGGTGTTCTGGGAAGGCATGGTGCTTCAGTGAAATTAAGAAAAGAGACAAGACAACGGCAACAATTCCGGTGAGAAGGAGAAACAGGCAGTGGAAACTTCAGTATGAGAAGGTGAAGTGGGGTGAGAAGGAGAAGCGGGAGGTGCTGCAGAGTTGCTTTGTCTTTGCCCCTGGTTTGGCGATGCCAGAACGACGCTGGCCGGAGCTGGGGCGTTGCCCTGTAACCTGCATTTGGCAGGAGTGTGAGGCCTTGTAGAGAGATCTGGGGATTTGCCGAGGGAGGAAGGCAATCCAGTGGCGAACCGGAGGGGCTGCCTTCACAACCTATGGGGCCAGGGATAGTCTAGGTGGCGAGGACAGGTCAGCTATGGTAGACATTGGTTAGGAGGATATTGTTTCTGAGATGTAATGTCCTGGTGTAGGGAGGGCTGGGAGGGTTCTAGGATTAGGAGGCCAGAAGTGCTGTTATAGCATACTCTTCTATATTTCTATATACTACTCATCATCATCATCATCATCATCACTTTCATCATCATCATCATCATCATCATTAGTATCATTATCCGATTAATGTTATATTAAGCCTTTTTGAAGTTCTGAAATTTAGGCAGCATCTAGTCTTCTGCCACGTTCGGGATATAGGACTTCTGCGATGGTTGAACCTGGACTGATATCTACTGAGTTGCTCTGTTCTGTGCCCTTGGTTTGCCGATGCCAGAACGACGCTGGCCGGAGCTGGGGCGTTGCCCTGTAACCTGTGAATAGCAGGAGTGTGAGGCCTTGTAGAGAGATCTGGGGTTTGCTGAGGGTGGACGGCATTCCAGTGGTGAAGGGGGGGGGGGGGCTGCAAGGAGGCGAGAAGAGATCAGCGATGGTTGACGTTGGTTAGGTTGGTTCTGTCTCTGAGGTACAATGTCCTGGTTCAGGGAGGGCTAGGAGTTGTTCTAGGATTAGCAGGCCAGAATAGCTGATATAGCATAATCTTCTATATTTCTTCATACATTTGAATCATCATTCTCATCAGCATCATTATCTGTGGTATCATCAGTATCATCATGGTCATCATCATAACCATTTGAGGGACGCTGAGCCCGGTTCTCAGCAGTTCCGGTTTGATCACTCCGGGTAGACAGTGAGCACCCTGGCCTCAATCTTATTTTGGTAATATCAGCCTTGGGCACGGGGCCCGATAAAAAAAATAAATAAATAAAGATCGCCCACAACTCCGCTGCACTCACTGTTCCAAAGGCCTTACTGTACCCCCTGTGTATTTCAGCCCTCCCAACAGCACCTCCGCCTCCCGCTCCCCATCATCCTTAAAATGGCAGACCCTCACTTCTTTTTGGGGCGAAATTAGTGGGTTTCAATTTCGTTCAACAACTTTTTTTTTTTTTTTTTTTTTAATTTAAAGGCTCCAGTCTATTCGTGGGGAGCAGCACGTGCTGGGAAACGGGCCCAGCGTCCCATATGAACATACATCAGTTTGTAACACCGGGGCCATTACCCGGCTTCGGCTGAGAAAAACCTGAGAATGGAATGCTGCAAGCACTTACGAAATCAGAAACCTTCGAAAATTCTAATGCTGATGATACTGATGATACCAGTGATGATGACAAAAGAATATAGCTACTCATGCTGAGTCAGCCATACTGGACTCCTAACAACTATAAAAGTTCCCTTTTAACGAAATGGCTGTTCTCTGGACCAGGTATGGATTCTGAATTTATGAAAAAAGAAAAGACAAAAAAAAAGGTATAGCTGCTGAATGACAATGTCATGATCGTGGTCTCTCCCCTGCAGCACTGTGTGTAGATCCTCAGGAGCGTGGTCCCATTAGCCGTCAGATAGGAGTGTGGCCTATCGAGTGTGACAAACCGTTGCAACCAGACCAGATAGTCGCCTACGCGCTGTACAGGTGGGCGTCGGGCGAGACATACGAGAGCAGCAGCTGCAGCTTTGGGATTGGCAGGGCTTCAGGTGTGGTGGCCATCCGGGACGTTACTGCTGCACTGCTTTCGGTGTACAGGGAGAAGGTGGCGTGGTCGACTGGGGTGCGGAAGGCGATCGTTCTGCATGCTTTTGCAGACAAGGGTTTCCCGAACTGCCATGGGTGCATCGACTGCACCCATATCTACGTGGACAAGCCGGCGAATGCACCTGCAGAAGACTACTACGACCGCAAGAGACGCTTCTCTGTCGTTGCTCAAGTGGTGGTCGACTTGGACTTGCGCATCCTGGATGTGTTTGTGGGATATCTGGGGAGCTGCCACGACGTCCGGATCATCCATCTCTCCACTCTATGGTCACGGGCCGCGGCGGGAGAGTTGTTTACAGGGCCTCCTGTGATGCTACCGTTCCAAGCGCAGATGAATGGTTATCTGCTGGCCGACAATGGTTACCCGCTGAGCGAATGGATGGTTGTCCCCTTTGGCGGCGTGGCGCAGCATCCCCTGGAGAGTCGTTTCGACAACAAGCAGAAGACCACGAGCAGGGCAGTGGAGAGGGCGTTCGGGAGACTGAAAGGAATGTGGCGCTTGTTCCTAGGCTCGCACTTGACCAACATGGAGACCTTGCCCCTGCAGTCCGTGGCCGTCTGCATCTTGCACAACATCCTGATCGACGTCGGCATCCCTTTCGATGAGAACTTGTTGTGGGAGGTTGACGCCAATGGAGTTCGCCGTTGGGTGGATATCGGGATCCATCGCCCCCCCAGGCCGTTGTGCATGGAAACTTCTACGGGGGAGGCGATCATGCTGCGGCAGGCGCTGGCGGAGCGAATGATGCGGCGATGACGGCAGAGGGACCTCGCGAGGCGGCGGGAGCTGCAGGCCGCGTTGATGGAGGAATGTTTGACGGCGGCGGTGGGAGGAAGTAGTGTGCGGAGAGACGACGGGCGCAGTACATGTGCCATGCCGTCCAATTTTCGGTCAGCAGTGAGGGACGCAGAGCGGAGAGCGACAGTCATGCCTCGTAGTCCCCGCGCCATATGCCGTCCGTTATTGAGTTTGTCGGAAGTTTTTCCTTTTCGTGTTTCGATCCGTGGCTTCGGGCTGGTGCGTTGATAGTGGGGCGTTCCCTGTGAGTGTGGGCGAGTCGTTGGGCGGCGGAGGCGGCGGCGGTGGCCGGTTAGTGTGATTAGTTGACGACATTGAGATGGAGTTGTTGTCTGTCGCGAGCGGCAGTCGTGTGCATCTCTTGGGGCTCGTTCGGGACGTTCTACGGAGAGCAATCATGTCGGCAGTGTGTTTTTATAATTCGCAAGAGTTTGGTGATTGTTGGGTTGTGATCAGAAAGTGTTATTGGTTGTTGGCGACTGTTTTCCTTCCTCTCCTATGCACTTCCTGCTGCATGGATGGCATGCTGACGTGTGAAAAAAAAAAATTGCGAGCGCAATCAAATGGTGTTTACATGTGTTCATATAGACAAATGGAAGTCATTAAGACGCAGGAAAATAGTTTTGTGTCTGCCTTCATTCGTCTGCGTCTTCGTCCTAGGGTTGCCAGTGTTGGGTGTATGAGTGCGTGTTCTGATAAAATACAACGATATGCAAACGACAATGATCAATGGTCATCGCAGAATTATCTCCACATGCAATTCCGAAAACAAGTGAAGCAAAAAAAAAAAAAAAAAAAAAACTCCGAATAAAATAACCAAAAACAAAAAAAATAACAATATACAAAGGACGGGAAGGATCCATCTGTTTGCGTTCGGGAAACATGCCAACACAAAAGAAGACCACGTGTCGAACCGGGCTGAAGAGACGGAAAGAAGAACAGCACGTTTCCAAATTATAAAGCACACGGCACTGTACATAAACATCAAAATGATTTTCGATGCCGCACCAGCAGCGTGCCAAAAACGGTCGGCCACTAAAAAAGTTGCACTACACTGGGTTGCGGAAAGCCCGCGGGATTTGGCGACGACGTGTATGAGCACTGGTCCTCAAAGTAGACGTCCACCGAACACGGCCGTCTGCGCCATCATCATCATCGTCATCATCATCATCATCGTCATCATCATCATCATCCTCATCATCATCGTCATCATCATCATCATCATCATCATCATCATCATCATCATCATCATCGGCATCTTCATTATCATCATCATCATCATCGTCGTC